GGATGTTGGTTGTCCTCTAGCAGTCTTTCTATTGAGGGGTCTTTTCGCGGGAGGGACGCAATGGTTTCCATAATGAATAGGAAGATCAGAGCTGCTAAAGGGTCCCCTTGGCAAACGGAGCGTGACATTTGGTAAGGCTGCGATATATGACCATTGACTTGGACTCTTCCATGAGCCTGTGAATAGAGGATCTTAACCCATCTCCTTAAGTAGGGGCCCACCCCCATTTTTTCCATGCTTTGTTGTAGGAAGTTCCAATTCACCTAATCGTAGGTTTTCTCAAAATCGAAGAATAGTATGACGGTGTTCATTCTTTTGTCTTGTATGTATCTGACAGATTGTGTTAGGGTCATTACATTGTTTAATATGAACCTTCCTGGAATGAAACCGGTTTGGTCCAGATGAAAGCAGTTCCTTGTTATTGTTCTTATTTTGTTAGATAACAGTTTTCCTAGGATTTTATATGTCACTGTAAGGATATTGGTCTGTAATTTTTTTTTTCTTTTTTAAAAAAAAATAAAGAGTACACCCGGGCGGATACTAGGGGAGCTGGTAGGACCAGACACCACTAGTACTGCCAGGGAGGCACCATCTATTGGTGGGGAGTGGCACCTGCTGGAAATCAGGTCCCCAAAACATTGTAGTTGTTTATGTGAATCAGACATGCAGTTGTACAGATAGCAAACTGTCTAAACCACCTACTAGAATTTATCAGGTAGAACTACACAGCTGTCTGGGCCGTTTGTCTACATGACCTCCTATGATGAGTGATGATATGTAACAATATTTGGACTAACAAACATACATTTGTAACTGACAACAAGCTACCGGACTCATCTGCCGGGATTGAGTTTTAGCAGGTAAACCAACACAACAGACTACGTTACATGCCTACATGACAATCTATTTTGAGTGATGGTATACACAGGTCTCCTGCCTGTTGCCCGAAGGATTGGAGACCGATTATAAGTATTAATCTGCTACCCCCCATTCACATCCTCCACCTCCCGGCGGTGGTAGGAGAACAAAATATTGAGAGCTCGACCTGGGGAGCGGCAGCTGCTGAAAACCAGGTCCAACGTCTCTTGGATCAACAAAGCAATGTGTTGAGTCGGGGCAACAACCATTAGTCATTTAACCAGAGAGCCATTTCTACCGAGCTGCAATCCAAACCCTTCCCAATCTTGAACTCTACTTGTTGAAACTGATGTAGTCTCGTCCACAACCCTTCCTGGAAGAGTCTCTTGGAGTGTGTGGGGGATATACTTCTTCAGTCTTGAGTCCGCCTTAATTTAGACCAGCGCAAGTGGTCATGCAATTGGTAACATCATCCCCCTGTACCTCGAAAAATTCATCCACTTCCCTCCGGCTCACTCAATCCCTGAAAATTGGGATATGAGCCAGGACACCAGCCTCAGTCATGTTGATGTACCTCCATATTGGAATTTTATCAGTCTCCATCCCAGCAGCGTTTAAACCTTGAACCCTTAGGGTTTTCAAGACATGACCCTTACCTTTACGTGCAGGCCCACACGTGTCCTTCCTTCGAGCAGGGCTTATCACAATTGAAATTGTATCACTCCTGTAACCACTGATCATTGTCTTCATCCTGAACAACCGCCTCCGTGATCGTTGTTGTGCCTTACGTGGTATGAAGTCCTATAGAGTCTCATTCCCATTGTGTGTAGCGAGCGGTCGGGAAAGTCTGGGGTGGGGTACCGGGGAGGCCAGGTTTATGTCCGTTTGATCTCCTTTCTTATATAGGAGGGAGACAACTCATGTACTTAGATGTTCCCCCATAGTACCTCTCTCCCAGACTTTCCCGAGGAACTGGAAATATTATGTGCCCAACACTGGCCAAAACGCTACCAAAAATTCCTTGGATAGACCATCAATTTCGGGAGTTTTGTTGGGCTTCATGGACTGTAGGGCTTCGAGAAGCTCTTGTTCTGTGCTTGGGAAGTCCAGGTACGTGAGGAATTTGTTTCTAGCCTGTGTCGTTTCCTGTTGTGTGTAATCCTGCTACTTTAAGTTGTAGAGGTTCTTGAAGAAGGATGCTGTCGTTGCCAGCATTAACTGTGGATCTGAAGAGAGACCCTGATCTGTTTGTAGTTGGTCAATGCTTGAAGTGTTGGAGTTAGATTTGATTTTGTGAAATAAATATTTGGTCATTCTCTCTCCTCCCTCCCATTCTTTCACCCTTGCTCGTATTCTCAGACCTTTGTTCTTCCACTCCTCCCCTTCGGCTAGCTCCTGCCTCGCTTGCTCCAGCACTCTCTCGTAAAGGGACGAACCCAGGTGGGAGATGAGGTTSCTTTCTGGGAGTTTTATGGTATGTTGAAGCTCATCTTCCCTTAATTTTCTTTTACKAGCYAGAATCCGTGAAGCTTTTGCTGTGGCTTCGRATAGTGTGGTGTAGGTTTGGTCATGAATCATGATCTATACACGTTCCTAGAACGACCTCTCTGATTTTTGGGGTATCGAGGATAGAGTGATTAATTAAAAATAAAAAATCCCCTCTGCCTAGATTGTTACCTATGTTGAGTGTGATAGGTTTGTGGTCTAAGCCCGAGTAGTGCGGTAGGCCTTTTATTGTTGAGTTGTGTACTGATCCTAACAATGATTCTGAGATTAGGAAATAGTCTATTCTAGGGGCAGATATGYGTTGACTTCTGTTCCTTTTCAGATAGGYATATTCTTTGCTATCTGGATTTTTAACTTTGTACGGGTCCAAGAGGTTTTTTCCGGTCATTATGTCGTGGATGGGAAGAGCTTCGCTCCATGTCATGATCTCTGCTGGGGAGCTACCTCCCGAGATGCGGTTCATTGTTGTGTCGAGCGCGGCGGTCCAATCACCTGCTAGCAATAAATGTCTGTGGGGATCGCATTTTGGGGCTAGCTGCTTGATTATGTCTTTTCTTTGAGGTAATATGTTGGGACAGGAGATGGAGAGGATTTGAAACTGTTCTTCTAGAAATTGAAAGTTTATGCTCACCCATCTTCCGCTGTGTCAACGTCAGATGATTGCATAGAGATTTTAGTGGTTGCCCTTGCCTTGGCATGTAGTAATATGACCACTCCCGCTGAGTGAGGAAGATGAGAAGGGGCGCAAATCGCTTCTCTCACCCATTTGAGCTTTTTAATTATCTCGTTGGGTGGATGCAAGAGGTGCTGATAAAAGTAGGCACCCCTAGCATTCTCGGAAGGCCATCTATTGGTGGGGAGCAGCACCTGCTGGAAACCAGGTCCAGCGTCCCTGAACATTGTCATCCTTCTAGGTATACAGAGATAGAGATGCTTTCTTGCAGATCTTGCTATCATAACATACCCCGGAACTGTACTTACTCTTCTGCTAGACTACCAATTGAAGATCCCTAAGTTTGCTGGTGATCCTGCAATTGAGTCAAGTGAGTTTCTCGAATGCAAAGTATGTCTGGGGGTGACCTGCCATCAGTTGGTATATTTTTTCATTTTTTTTCTTTTTTGGACCATTTCTCTATTTATGCGTGTCATCCTTGCGCAGGGTCCATGCTAATCTTCTCTGTATCGTTCCAATTTTAACGGATGTCCCGAAGGACATATTTATTTCTTYATTTTTACATTCTTGGAACTTGCATTTTCTCTTGCCTGCCGTTCTTCTGTCTTGCTACTTTTTCACTCACTGCCTTGTGTTGTTCGTGTGCCTACCCGCCTCCCCCATGCCCTCCAGTGTATGTCTTTTGCTTCACTGTCTTTCGTGCCTTGCTATCTTGTGTTGTTTGTCTGCCC